AAATCAAATCAAATTAATTTAATTAATGCAGATTAAACTCCTAGTTTAGTTTTTCAATTATTTTATAGATATTTAAATTGGCTATTAACTTAAACAAAATTTTAATTTGATTTTAAAATTTTTTAAATTTAATTTTAAATTGATTTTTTAATTAAAAATAATTATTATATCTAATTATTAATATGACATATGATCATTAAATAATAATTATCTATCATTAAAAAACAATTTTCAACCATCAAATTATAGATATATCAATGGTTTTTTAATGAAAAAACCAGATTAGAATTAAATTTAAAATCTTTAGAAGTAAAATTAAAAAATATTTAATATGACGTATTAGCTGGACATTGCCGGTCCACCTGGGCTGCTACCGTGAGTCATTTTCAACTTTTAAGAAAATGTATTGACCCGCAGGGAAAGGTTATCTTTATTAATAAAAAATTTAAGATTATTAAAATTATAAAATAGTATTTTTAAAAATATTAATTTTATTTAATTTAATTAATAAAAATAATTAATAATTAATAAAATAATTTATATTTAATATTTAATAAATTAAAATTAATTAATTAATTAATATTTTTAAATATTATTTACAAAAACTTTAAATATTAATATACTTAATTTTTTGCACTTGGCTTTTGAATCAAGTGGCACTTGCTACGATGAAAGGTGCATCCCATTCCCTGGGTGGATTCGACCCACCTTACAATCAATTGTTTAAAAAATATATATATACTTAATCTTTTTTTTTAGTATTTGTGAAAAGAAGACAAATTAACCAACTAGTGGTTAAGAAAAGCAACGCTAATCAAATCTCTTTTTAGAAAAATATTCAATACGGGAGGCAGAGAATCATAAAGGGTGTTTGGTTGGGAGTTTGGTAAATAATTATCCGTTGTTGATTTTTTTTTTTATATAAATAGGTCATGGGATTAGCTGTTGAATATAATTAAATGAATTAAATATTTTTAATTTTTAATAATATTAATAATTAATTATTAAATATTAATTATCAATTTATTTTAAAAAATTAATCCAAATACACAAATAAACATTTGTTCCAACCACTAAGCTATGCTCAATTCTATTCAAGAAATTTACAGCAAAATTCTCCTCACATTTTGTATATTGAAAAGTAATAGTAAAAAACTCATCGCAGAGCCTTCTAATATCTGCATACATTGAATGTTTGACGCTGACAATAACCACCTCTAAACTGTGGAGCCGTTTCTATGGACTGTTGTCCGGTAAAGTCCTGTCATTTGTTGGAGTCATAGTCTAGTGGTTGTTGGGTTTGAAATTAACCCTAACAACTACTGGGTTTGTAGAAGGCACAAAGGAAAGGAAGATGAAAGAGAAAGGGAAAAAGCGAGAGAGAAATGGGGTTCATCAAACCTAGTTCCGGTG